TTCCTCAGGTGACGAGAAATCAGGAAACGGACATGGGGTCCGCAAGGCGCGAGCAGGGCTTATATCACGCCGCTGGTACGGCTCGCCTTCCTTGAGATTCCACCCGGGAAAAGGAATGTCAGACTCGTAGTCGACAGCCTCCATATCCCCGACGAGGTCACACGTCACCGCTAGCGTGCGCGGGGCGCAACGCTCGGGCTGATCGAGCCTAGAAATTACATCTCTCGATGCCGCGGAGACACGGTCCGACATGGCACCGCGTGCGGGAGATGAAGCTGGGCTCTGCCCGAGAGCGCTATCGGAACCAGCGAGACTTGGAGACTTTGGTGTCATTGACACAGGGCTCATTGAGCACGAAAGTCGTTTCGTTCCAATGCAGTGTCTAACGGACCGCAAGCCTCATTGAGGGAATAATCGATTGGAACTGTAAATGTTCTCAATCTTAATGGGAGAGAGTGTAACACATCCCCTGGTAACAGGGGTGTGTGTCACACCAGATGGGCATGGTGAAACCACACTCAAACAAGAATACGGTACGAAGCTGGATAGCCAGTAGTTAAACATGTACTTAGATTATACTATACATATTTGAGAAAGTCTATTCATTTAAAATTAGGCGGCTTTGCCGAAGATAAAAATAGATAAAGTCAGTTTTTGAATTCAAACGGAAGAGTTAATTAGCCTTGGATTAAGGTTGTAATTACTTTTGAAGTAAGCGGATTGCGATCCGCTAGACTCGTACATGCTCTAAGTATAGCACGAAAGGTCGGTGACCTAACTTACGCTTCCACTAAGCGCAAAGCTACGGCAGCCCCGCTGCACGAAGCGTCACAGACGACACAAAAAGGACGATTGGGGTCTGGCAACGCCAGTATTGGTGCCTGAAGGAGGCTGTCTTTGGCCCTGTCAAAAGTCTGCCGATGATCGATGTCCCAACACCATTCCTTATCCTTTCTATGGAGATTAGACAATGGTCGTGACATTTCCGCATAATTCGCGCTATACTTGTGCAAGTAGTTTGCGATGCCGAGCCACTTGCGCAAGTCTTTTTGATTTATTGGAACCGGCCAGTTTACAATGGCCTTGGCCTTAGCGGGATCCGCTCGAAGGTCACGCTTCCCAATGAAGCGCCCTAAAAAGGGAAATCTTTTGCGCCAAAGATGTACTTGTCTGCATTATCCAACAACTTATTCGCGCATGCACTCGAGCACCGTTCTTGTATGTACGCTGTGGCTCTCTTGACTTGTCCTCCTGTGCTCCGCACGACTGTGGACGAAGATGTCGTCGAAGTGTGACTGTGCATATGCCTGATGAGGCCTGAACAACTGCGTCACAAGACGATCAGATGTTGCTGGTGCATTTGACAGCCCTTGGGACATCGCCAGCCACTCCCAGAGTATGCCGCTCAGAGTACTCACCGCTGTCAGCGGAAGATCACTCGCTCTAATAAGAAATTAGTAATACCCATCGATCAAGTCGAGTGCACTATAGTTCATACATTCAACCATGTTGTTCTGGAGAACATCCTTCCTAGGAATTGGCGTCTATGCCGGAATGGCGGCAGCGTTTAGCTTATTGTAAGTGTGAACGATATGCCACTTGTCGTTTGGCTTCGGACACAAAGCGTGGGTGTCGAATGGGGAGACACGCTATCACACACCTTCCTGCGTTGTGCTTCGCACGGAAGAAGGCGTCAATGACGTCACATTGCTTCTTGCACAGAGGCCATTGGCGTGTTACGCAGTATTAGTTTTCCGGAATCAGGTTGATCTCACGACGCATACCTCGGTCCGGAGGTAAGACCGCCAGCGGGTTTTTGAAGATGACGCCTTAAATTCTTTTACCAAAAGATAGTATGGATCCAAAAGATTCTACAGGATCAATGATCCACTCGTGCGCTCAGTACTCTCTTGGAGTCCTTCAAGACCGCTTCATCCAGAGGCGACGACAAGTTGATCTCTTTTTCCGGCCGTATAATGACCATTACAGCTAAGTTACTGGCCTTCAAGGCACAGCCGAACTCTTCGAGGGACATCTCGTTCAGCTCAAGAAGAGCATCTACTGCAGGCATAGCCTCGGGGCGGACGTAGCCATCTCCCTCCCCCGTCATACCGTTGACGAAGGTGTATAACTGTGCGCCATCGTCTACGGTAGACACCCTGGATCAGGGTCTACGCCCGGCGTCTTGCAGCCAGCATACGGCGTCACCATTGCCTCTGTACAGAAGCTCTATGTCTCGGTGAAACCAGGGTGGACACGTACTTCGCATCGTCCGGTGTCAACCTCACTTTCTGCTCCTTTGGAGCTCCAATCTTATCTACAACATCCGACGAAGAACTGCTAATCCCGCAGTCTTCGGTGGATAACGTGCTACTCCACGCGCATTTGAAGGGCCGTGCCCGAGATGCCTCGGACTCTGTCCGACCACGCCATCAATGGCATGCAGCAACTACTTGCAACGAGAGCAGTGCTCAGTGGTTTTCGTGCCACTCCACGCGCATCTGAGGGGCTGTGCCCAAGATGCCGCAGCCCTTGGCCGACCATGTCATGCATGACATGCAGCGACTTCTTCAAAACTAGAGCAGCGCTAAGTGGTTTACGTACCACTTCACGTGCATCTCGTGGGCCTCACCCTCGATGCCTCGGCTTTTGGACCAACCATGCCACGCATGACAGCTCCGAAACTTGAGCAGCGCTCAGTGGGTTACGTGCCACTCCGCGACCGCGAGCCGTGCTCGGGACTCCTGTCCAATGCACA